TGCCCTCCAGCCTGGACGACAGAGTGAGACTCCGACTTAAAAAAAAAAGACAATGATTTACCCAGTTATTCCAGTTCAGAGTGGCTGGAGCCTGTCCTGGCAGCTCAGGTCTAAGGGGGAACTACCCTGGCTAGGACGCCTCCGAGGGCAGGGCCACTCACACACAGGGGCCAGGTAGACAGCTGATGTGGCGGGCCCAGGCAGGATGCAGGAGGAAACCCACACAAACATGGGAGAGCAGACGGGCTCAGTGGCTCAGCCTGCAATCCCAGCGCTTTGGGAGGCTGAGGTGAGTGGACTGCCTGAGCCCGTGGGTTCGAGACCCACCTGGGCAACTTGGCGAGACCTCATCTCTACAATAAAAAAATCAAAAATTAGCCAGGCGTGGTAGCGCATGCCCGTAGTCTCAGCTACTCGGAAGGTTGAGGCGGAAGGATCGCCGGAGCCAGCAGCTTGAGGCTGTGGTGGCCGGGAGCGGCCGCTGCACTCCAGTCTGGGAGACAGAGTGAGACCCCAACTCAAAAAAAAACATGGGAGTGTGTGCAGACTTCACACAGACAGTGGCCTGGCCGGACGCGATTGTTTTCTTCTTGTCAACATTACAAGAAAACCACATAGGATGAAACAACGTCATTCAAGGGCCTGCGTGCTGGCCTCACCCCCTCTGTCAAGTGAGCCACGGGGCCCCAGGTCCAGGGTTTTGGGTTCAAGCTAAGGCCTCCTGCCAGGGTGAGCCAGAGGACCCAGGAGCTGTGGTCTCCCTCACAGGCCTCCCGCCTGCCGCCCCCCTTGCCAGCCCTCCCCCGCCTCCAGCCTCAGTGTCTCTGGGCGGCCCCACGGCCTGGGTAGCCGTGCACCGGTCCTCTTCCGTCTTCCAAGGTGTGTCAGCACCTGGCCTCTGCTGTTGCCCTGTCTCCTCTTTTCCCTGACCGTGCATTCCATCGTACTCCTTTGCCGTCATGTGACAGGGTTTGAGGTGGAAGAGGAGGTCGGTGCCTGTATTTCTGGCCTCACATTCAGCCAGTCCAGACTACACCTTGTTCAATCCAGCCTGTGTCCGTTGAGCCCTTGCCACGAGCCCTGTTCATCTCAAATCATGAAAAATTTTAATCCCAGCCTAACTTCCCTTGTCATTGAGAGCGTTCACGTTCAAAAACAGGATTGCTTCATACCTGTAATCCTGGCATTTTAGGCGGCCAAGGTGAGAGGCTCATTTGAATCCAGGAGTTTGAGACCAGCCTGGGCAAAATATTGAGACTGTGTCTCTACCAAAAAAAAAAAAAATCAGAAAATTAGCCGGGTGT